GTTGCCTGTATCTGGCAGTCGGGTGCTGTGCTTGCTACCACAGGTTTGGGGATGGTGAAAAATCAGCATGCTTTCAAATTCAGTCACTGCCATCAGACAGCCTTGGAGAGCCAGTTCCTCCCTCTACATCTGGAGAAGCACATGCATTGTACAGCTTCCAATGAGACCTGGTAGGACAGTGACTCCCTACTGCAGCCACTGGTGTAAAGGGATTTTGGCAGCTGGAGTTATCATATTTTTCAGCTTAAATGTATTTAACAATTGGCTGCAGCAATGGCTCTTTAATTCTCTTGCTAACACTTCCAGGGCAGCTGTTTAATTTTTTTTTAAACCCTCTTGCTTCTGGAAATCCTGTAATCGAATCCAAGCTCTGTCAGTCTAATTAGTTTTGAAATGTAGCTTCTCCACAACTTAGAGACCTAAATAAGCAGCTTAATATTAAAACCCAGCTTCTCTCCCAACACTTAATACTTCATGTATTCCCTAACAGAAGTTCCTCCTGAACAAGAGCCTCCTGTTATTGTTCTCCATGTTTTCCCTCTTAACCTCTTTCTCCCCTTCTGCAGCCTTTGCTGTCACTGCATCTCTCAATTGCTGTCTGGTCTTTTTGGTTCCCCTGTGCAGCTCTCTGCTTCTAAATAGTCTTTCATCGTGGTGCTTGCTTAAAAGATGCTCATGCTGCTTTGAATGGTGGCGCAGCAAGGTTTGGGGGCAGTGCATAGCATCTTCTAGCACCACACAGCAGCTGAGCCAAGCAGGGGGCTGCCTTTGTCACCTGTGTGCTGTCGGGAGCTGGGCCTGCACGTGCTCTGCCAGGGGGATCGATGCAATTTAAAGAAAATGGGCTGCACTGCCTCCGAGGCAAACCGCGCAGCCGGAGCAGCGTGATGCAGCTCGGAAAGGGCAGATGCAGAGCGGCGGCCTCTTTCCAGACGTGCCACGTGCTCTCGTTCCTTCTTGGGGTGCTGTGAGGGGCTGGCAGGAACAGCACCCTCCCCACCGCCTTGGCCTCCTTGCAGCATCGCCGGCGTCTGTGCCGCCCTCCCGGGGCTCCAACTCCGCGGCGGAGAGCGCCCAGCCATGGCCACAGCCCTCAGCCCCGACCAAGGGGTGAAGTGGGGAGACAGTGGGTGTTGGAAAGAAGGGTTTGATGAAGTGCTACAACAGCGTTTCATCTCCTCCTTCTTCAGCTGGGGATATGACATCAGCTACGTCTGTGTTAGTGACTGGTGTGGGGCAAGAGGAGTGGATTTGTAGGGCAAGTTTGTGCTAAGGACCCAATGCTTGCCCTCACCGTGTCTAGGGGGCAATCTTCTTTCAGATGTGCATGTGTTGGAGCTCATAGGCATGTTTCAGGAGCTAAACCAATTGGGTTTAGCTTCATCTAAAATTAACCCAGTTTCATCCTTGAAGCCCAGAGCAGTAAGATGAGGTGTCCAGGAGATTTATATCAGATCCTTAAATCAAGTATTTTGAGCAAGACTATGAGACTGATGGAGTTATACGGATAGAGGAATGAGCTTGTTCAGATCTTGCATGCGTAGAAAATCCAAAGAAAGGAGGCCAGGGGAGAAGCTAAAGAGCATTTCTCTTATTGGGAGACAATGGGAGACATTTTTCGTATGGGGACAAGACATGAGATGAGATGTGTGGTTTAAGCTCCACTTTTATCTCTTCAGCAGAGCAGCTTCAGAACAAGTGTGTTTGCCTGCTAATGATACAATAAAAGAGAAATAATACCCCCCCGCCTTTTTTTGTCCCTGTAAGTGCCTGGCCAATTTTGTCCTTGTTTGCCTTTTTACAGGAGACATGACAGTGCAAAGGAGAGCAACCACCTGTTTCAGAAGGGAGCTGTGGGGCTCTTTCTGGTTGAGCCCTTTCTGCTTTCACCTGAGAGTGACCACAGTCCTAGAAAGCTGCAGCCTTACGAGGTGGGTGTTTCTCTGTTCCCTAACCTGTTCTGTTCTTGGACATTTTTTTTTTATTTTATTAATTTATTTTAGTTCCTGTATCAATTAACTTTTATCCCTGCAAAATTACTGAAACAGCCCTTCTGTGCTGAAGTTCTCTGCTGTGAGTTTTGCTCCTGAAGACCATGCAACGGCGCTGTGTCTTGTGAGAGCACAGGATACACGAGATATAAGTAACAGAAGCAGCCCTCCTTACTGCTATAAGAAATGTTTATTTTCTCTGCTTTTGCTAGACTTCCTTCTAGCTTTATAGCTGTCTGACTTCCCTTGGGACTAGTTGGTGGTTTGGTTCAGCGCTGTGTCAACACGGAGATCTTCATCCACCGAAATCTCACATGGCTCCAAAAGCTGTAGGTGAAAGCCCGTGTAGCTGAGAGCTGAGCTCCCAGAAGCTGAAGCTGGAGGATTTGGGTGCTGGTGCTCTGTTGGGTGGTTTCTGCCCACAAGAGCAGCACGGAGGATTGCGGCTGAGCCGGGCGGCCCCGGGGAAGCCGGCTCCGGCTTGGCTCTGTAATCGGGAGCAGTAACCAGCTGGCTTTGATGTCTGAGCAGGGCTGAGAAAACCTGATGGCAGACTTCAAAGTCTATTGTGCCAGCGTGCCTGATTATCTGTGGGCTTCTGGTACGCCCTCGGAGACAGCCACTTTGTCGTGGCAATGCTGTGCTATTCCCCAAGCCTCCCGACCCTGCCAGCCCCAACCCCTCGCTTTGGAGCATGTAATCCTTGTTTCCTGAGACCTGTGAAGCAAAAATGGGAGCAATTTTTGTTGACTCTGCCTATAGTCTGTACCCAGTGCTGTATTCCCCCTCCTCTTGGGTCACAGCAGCAGCAGCCTGCTGTGCTCGAGCCCTCTGTGGCGCTGCCTAAGGAGCTCTGAGGAGCCCACGGCCAAGCAGAATACATGGGCAGGCAAGCCTGGCCCTAAGCCCTGCATCCTGCTCTGATCCACACTGCTGCAGCGCCATGACATGAGCTAGAGGGTGAGAAGGCACTGGCAGAGAGAGGGAACAGCACGGCCTCCGCATACAGTCTGGTCCCTCTAAAAGGCAGTACGAACATGGTACTGCCACCTGCATCCTGATAACGTCCTCCATAGTGTTTCTACCTAACTAGCAGACTAACAGACTAGCAGACTAGCAGACTAACCCTGTCTCACACTGATCCCACCACAGGCTCCAGGCCGTGCACTAAGGGAGTGTCCACCTGGCTATTTGGGATGCTTAAAAGCCCCTGTGGATGTTGCTAGTTGCTGCTGTGCTTTCTTTAGGCAGCGTCTAACTTCACCGTGACTGGCTTGGGCTTAGTAAAACTTTCCATGCCGCATTTTGGCTGAGTTTTTCTGGAAGGCTTTGGCCCAAAGTGGCTAGCAGCATTCAAGAAGGTGGCCAACAGCGTGGTCCAGTGGACATGGCATAGGGCAGCTGGCTGTGGGAGCAGGCACTTAGAGGCTGTCATCATGCATGTGAAGGCCAAAGGCAGCGCGACGTGACCCCTGGCGCTCCCACCCTGCGGGGGAGGCCGTGGTGACCCGTCCGGGGGTGCTGCCAGCAGCCCCCTGCTCAGGCGCCAGTCTGGAGGGCAGGGAGGCAGCGCTTGCGCTCACTGGGTCAGGCGCGTGGCCACGAGCACTGCCCGGCTCGGAGGAGGCGAGTCCTCCCTGCAGGTGCCAGCAGGGATCTTCTGGGCTATCCAAGAAACATATTCCCTGCCTTCCCTTCCCTATCTTCCCCAGGAAGATGAGACAAGGGTGTCTCTCCCAGTCTCCTCACAGACTTGGCTTCACTGATGTTGCTTCTAAAAGAGCAATGTTATCTTTGCAAAGGATTCTCTGATCCTCTTGCTTTGCACATCCTTGCATGGTTATTAGCCCTGCCATATGTTTGGCTATACTGATTTCCCAGGAAGGAAGGGAGTAAGATTTAGACTACTATCCCAAAAAGAGGGAGCTGTTGTTTCTGTCCACAGAGCATCATCATTGCTGGTGATAGGGCTGGGTAAAGCAATCCTATTCTCCATGGTTTCTTTATTGCAAATGTAAACAGTGATTCATGTGTCATTTGAGTTGCAGGCTTGGAGTTTAAATGTCCCCTTGAGTGTGTTTATCTGCACACTGACTATAGGAAGCTCACTGAGGTTGAACTCAAAAGTTTCCTCTCCATTTACTCTGTTGCAATAGCAGAGATGTTTTTCTTTCCACCAAAGTGGTAGGCTTTTCATCAGGGGATCTGAGAGTGCAGGAGTCTGCGCTCCCCACAGGCCACTGCTAATAGCAGGTTGGTCTCAGAAAGCCAGGCACCTCTTGATCCTTTCTCTGTGGGGCAGGAGGGCTCCATCCTGCAGCAGGGAACCAAAGCCTACGTGCAGTTCTGCCATAGCTGCTCCGCTGCCTCTGTGGAGATGCTGAGTAGGTTTCAGCCTATGTTACCCTCTATTTCCGCAAAACACTTCATGTTCCTCTGCTCTGTTTCGCTGTAATGACAGTGGGCAGCAGGGGACAGGTGAAATGCCGCAGGGACCTCTTCGCCTGTTGCAAGAGCTTGTCCCACTAGACTAGTGGTGACAGTGGAGCTGGGTGTGCAGGCTAACAAGCAGCCTCAAAGAGCTAATAAGGGTGCAAGCCTTGCAGCAAGGCGTCTCTGCCTTATCTGCCAGACTTGTAGGCTGTCATACAGATCAGTTTATTAAATGCAGAAAGGAGGGACCTTTGTGTTTGTTCATTAAATGAATCTCATTCCCTCTAGGAGTCCACTGGGATCAAGCAAGCTTTACAGCCTGTTTTTAGCTTGCAAATCCCTAAGCCAATCTTGCCATTCAGTCTGTGCCCTGGCAGTGCCGTGGGAGCAGTGCTCGGGAGTAAATGCTTCGTGCTGCCATCCTTCCTGTGGAAAAGAGAAACAAATCCTTCTGGAGTGCCGCCGCTCGAAACCCCCATGTTCAGCTGCATGCTGACAGACTGGACATTCCCTGCCAGGGACATGCCCCAACACCCGTGCCAGCCTCCAGCCTCATTCCCTGCACGAGCAGGAGGGATGTGCGACAAGCGCCACGGGTGTCAGCGAGCATTGCTGGGGAAGGACACAGCACTCGCCTCCGGCCTCGCCCCTGCCTGCAGCCCCACAGCAGCAAAACTTCTTGTGAACGACGGCCCTGGCCTCGCTGCTGGGGCGAGCAGAGCTGCTCCCGGGAGCCCACCAGGTCTGGGCACCTGCCTGCAGCGCCGCTTTGCGGGAGAGCGCTTTGCCATCCAGCCTGAGGTGCTGGAAGCAAGTCTGTCCTCTCACACAGCGGGGGAATTTGGCTGGGGGTCATCCTGCTTGTTGGCTTGAAGCAAAGCAAGACAAAAAATACTTAATGTAACCGAACAGGGAGCTACAGCGCAGAGTGGAAGCAGAGAGGGCAGCCTCCTTGCTTCGCTGTGCAGCACGTGCTGCGTGCCAGGCGCCGCAGAGCGGGCAGAGCCGCCCGGCCCTGGTGCGTGCAGCCAGCCCGCATCTGAGCAGTGCTGCAGGGGGCATGAACACAACCTGCTCCAAGCGCCGCTGGGTGCAAGGTCCTGGGCACAGCATCTTACTGAGCACTCTCTGCTCCCCAACCACTCCCCGCGTTTTCTACATAGAGGAAACTGTGGTCAGAGGTTGACTTGTTCCTCCCAGCTGCTTTCAAAAGCCGTGTGGCTGTTGCTGTCACTGCACTGTGACTGCTGTCACAAGCTTCCTGACACTTCTCCAGGAGAGGAGCCACATGGAGCTTTTCCCCATGGGGCTGCTACATTCCCTGGGGACTGCTCTTGTCCTCGTCCTGGGTGAGTGCCCGGTACCGCGAGGGGCAGGTGAAGGGGAACCTGGAGCTGCTCCAGCTCCAAGGCAGAGGCCAAGCGGCACGGTCTCCTGTCATCACTACGATTTCATGAAGCGAGAGCCTGGTCCTTGGCTGGGGTTTGATGAGGGGACACACAGGCACTGGTTGTGTGACTGCTACCTGCCCTGGCGAAGGTGCAAAAGGGGGTCCTTTCTCCCCTCCTGTGGGATGGAGCTCCGGAGGTTTCTCAATCTGTGTCACCAGCCTGTGCATTCCCTCGTTTGGTCTCTGCTGTTGATTTTTGGCTCAGTGCATGAGTGCCCATGGGTGGTTTTGCTCTGTGTGTATGTCGGGAAGCAGCGCAAGGCCGGTGCCCAGCCTGCCTTTGCTGTCTAATGTGCCCAGCTGGTGGAGCGCCCAGCTTTGGCACCACATCCCTGCCTCAGGCAGCACTGGCATGAGGCACCCTGGCACCCATCCCTTCCCATCCTGGCCTGTGCAGGCTCTGAGCACTGGGCTCTCTTCATCTTTCCAAGTTACAAGGCTCTTCCACTGAGCTCCCCCTGAACAACTGGCAGGATGATGCCACGATTGAGCTTGAAGGCCCTGTAGCTGTGATGCTCTGGCCTCTGTTGTGTGACCTGCTGTGTCAGGATATAACAAAATTTGGAAGCTTTTAGTTACATGGTTTGTCCTCATAACTGTACTGAGTGCCAAAGTCCCTGGAGCTTCATGCTTCAGAAGAATAACCATGCAGGGCAAGCCTTTGTGGGTTACCTCGCAGTCCCATGCACCCCCAGGCCTGCTGCTGTTCTGAGTGTCCACCTCTAAAACAGTGTATATTCCTGCATAGAACAGAATCATAGAATCATTATGATTGAAAAAGACCTTCAAGATCATCAAGTCCAACCCTAACTGTGCAAACACACTTGTGGTGACCATTTGCTGACAGGTTTGAGCAGTGGCCAACGGGAGGTGACCGTTCAAAAGGGGCCGCTTTACCGAGTGAGGGGCTCCCACATCACGCTGTGGTGCCGCGTGAGCGGCTACCAGGGGCCGGCGGAGCAGAACTTCCAGTGGTCCATCTACCTGCCGTCGGCCCCCGAGCGCGAGGTGCAGATCGTGAGCACGGCCGACCCGTCCTTCCCCTACGCCATCTACACGCAGCGCG